TTAAATGAACTCAAAATTTGCATAGTTAATTTTACGCTAACTTATAAAAATTAACCGGATTTACGATTATACACTGAGCATGCGCATACACAGACATTTCTATTTTTCGTAGAAAAATTTAATTATTACCTTAATACAGAGATGCTGTGAATAAATTTATATAATGCAAAAGTAAGTTTATTTTCATATGCTAATTTAGAGGCTTTCTTAATATGTTTAATTATAAGAAAAAAAAAAGCGTTGCAATTCTTGTTCACTGACCAATGGCAAAGCAGACACTTTCTACTTCCGGTTGTGGCGGGATATTTGTGAAGTCAAGCACACTCAGCAATGGCGGTCGAAAAGAATGGTAAAGTCGCAATACTGTTTGTTCGATTGGCGTTTGTGACTGAATCCATCGAAGTTACTAATTATTTGAAGAAAGTAAGTGAATATTTTATATTTTCAGTGTTTAATACTCGTACTTTCTTCACCTATATAAAATTTTATAAATAGCGTCTGTGTAGGAAATGTGATTTTCCATGTGTTGTTCTTTTGTGTACGTGCCTAATGATTCATTTTCAGGATTTGGTACTGTTAAATTTTGCACTAGTCTGTTTCTTACTGTTTGTGTCACTCCTTTTTGTATGTGTCTCACCTTTTTATAGTTATATTTTTTTACTCAAACGTTTTAATATTTATCTTAAAGCATACTGTAATTAAGCAGGAAATAGCTTTTAATGGAAAAAGAAAGGCAATATTAACATGACTAATTGTTCAGAAATCTGTTATGGAAATGTTATCTACCTTATGCCAAAAAATAAAGCATGTAACTTTCATTTATTTATGAAAAATTCAAAATTTTTTATTTGCTTAGTGTTTTTCCCTAAAAATAATTTAATTTCTTATTTTTGAATTTAGTTTTATAAATTTGCTTTAATATATAATCTTTAACTCAAAGATATTGTGCTATTAAAAAAGGAAATTTTATGCCATAGAAACACAGGTACTTTGTTCCAAATCTGTGTTATTTTTTTTTTTTTTTTTATATATATACGCTGAATTTTTATGCACTTGTAATTACTGAAATATATCCTTTCATGAATAATAAATAAGTCCGAAGTCCTTTCATGAATGCATTTCTTTTTGTTTGTTTGATTTGTTGTTTTAAAAGATCTGCCATAGTTAAAGAAAGAAAATAAAGTAAGAATGCTTTACTTTCAGTTTTGAATAAATTTATTACTATTCACTGCAGCTTCAAGTTTCTCTAAACATAATTTTTAAAGTCAAAACTTGATAGTTATGTTGATTATTAAACTTGCATGAAAAAATTTATTGAAAAATTAGCATTTGATCTAAAATACCTTAAATTATATTTTACTAAATCATGTATTTTGATATAACTAGATAGTTAAAAAAATTAAAATTGTAAATGCGCAGAAATGCTTATATAAAACCAAGAAATTGTTTATATTTTTGTTGCTTTTTCCCTTGTAAATTAATTATATATATATATTACAGTCTGGGGAGTCAGCACCCTGCTGAATTGTAGTAAACGAAGACGTCCAATCTACTAGACCATCAAAGATGCAGATTTGGATTTTCTATTTCATAGTTATTGAAATCATAATGGTATGTTTGTTTAAATTAGTACTGTTTATGAATGTGATAAAAATAAATTCTGATAAGCTAAGAAATGATTTATTTTCTATTAATTATGAACTGTAAATAATGTAACCAATTTTCTTCATAGTATTTACTAAACATTTTTTTTAAAAAAGGGAGGTAGTCTTATTTATACAATTCTTGCAGAGATACCAAGAAATAAAACATTTCAGGAATTTTCACTCAGTATATCTTGATGTGTAAAATCGTGTTGTTCAATGCCATATTACTTTTTCACAGGAAAGTAATTTTATTGATCTAACATCTGCATAAATCAAACTTTTTTAAGAATGATTACAGTTTCTAACTTAAAATTTTCAGATTTAGAAAATGTATGTTTAATGTAGCATTAGTTTTCCATGGAATAGAAAAGGTTTTCAAAATGTTCAGTTGTTAGAGGGAAATAATATAAATGAGATTGTCCTGATACAGTTTCAGCTGGAAATGAAACTGAATTTTCGGATAGTGAAGATTTCATTTAAGAATTCTAATAAAACTGATTAATGTAAATCCTCTGCATTTAAAAATTCTAATAAAACTGATTAATGTAAATCCTCTGCAAATTTAACTTTAATAATAAAAACTGATTAATGTAAATCCTATGATTCATGTAGGTATTCTTCTGTTATCAGGACCAGATTCAGAAATGTGTGTTTATATGCATGCATTTTTAAATGTAGGTGCTCATGTGTGCATGTGTATATTCTTTATGTATGTATGTGTATACTTATACACATACATGCATACATATCTACACATGCATACATATCTACATATATATATACACATGCTTACATATCTACAGTGGAGATACGAGTTTAATTCGTTCCAGCATTCAACTGGTATAGCGAATTTCTCGTATCTAGAAACAAGCTTCCCCATTGAAAATAATGGAAATTCAGTTAACCCGTTCCACACCCCAAAAAATATCAACATTTTAATATCAAGTCAATTTTTCCTAATAAACAACACTGGTAAATAATATAACAATAGTTTAACTTTGTTACCAACATTTTAACTCCTTCTCATTAATCCACACCAACAACAGCTTCTCAACATCTAGGAGTACTTTTATGGTGCTTGGAAGCAACGATAATTCCTTTGGCTACATCAGGTTTCTTAATTTCTTCCTGCTTCTTCAGAATAGTATAGATTTTCGATGTTGAAAGGCCGCAAGTCTTCGCCAATTCCGTCACCATGCTTTATCTATGATTTCTTTCTTGAATATCGACGGCCATGGCCTCCTTATTTTTCTTTGCAGCACTATCTGAGGCAACAATCTTCTTGCGAGGCATCTTGAAATAATTATTTTCACGTTAAATGTCAAAACAATTAACTTACAAGTGCACAAACACGTATATAAAAGAACACTGAGTGATCTGACGAGGGGATTCCCCGAGTTGAGCCGGATAGGGAAATGGCGCCACCCATACCAACAGCCTGGCTCATTGCTCGTTACTCGAATTAATGCTCGTATTTTGCTCATACTTTCCTCGTATCTCGAGGTTTCATTGTACATTTCTGAATCCCGTCCTAATAACAGAGGAGTACCTTTGCCAGTATTGCAACAGAGCTAGAATGAATTATTGTGTTAAATATGTGGAAAATGCATGCTTAAAGTACTGTTATTTTCTAAAAATATTCTGTATGTCTATTTTTTACAAGAAGAAAAAATAGCTAAAAGCTGTTAATTTACTCGTATTTATTAGTCCAAAGGGGCTTTGTCCCTAAAGAACTATTGTTTTTGTTTTGCATTGGTTCACTATAAATATCTGTTTCACTTTTCAAACTGTTCCTACCAAATGTTAGAGTCCCTAGTGTGGGATTAATACTCTCTATCTTAGTGCCCTCTATAACCTATGTTAGGGTTAACCTGTATAACCTACAAGGATTGCCAGTTTAGGCGAGATATCTAGGTAGTCATCATAATACGTACCTTATTTTTTATTATTTTTAAATTAAATTGAAAGTAATAAACTAGTTTTCAAGAATGGAGTTAAACTAGATTTGCATTCAACTCTGGTTTATTGTGTTAATGATGTTTTGCTGTAACAAATATGAATTTTTTGTTTAAGTATAATAATTTAAAATGTTTTTTCTAGAGAATGAAGTACTGCCACTAAGGTAAAGCTTGCAAGGTAATTTTCTATTCTACATTAACTCAATCTTTATGTCCTGTTACAGATATATTGGCAGAAATAATGAAAACCTGACATTCAAAAAGAAAAATAATAACATTGAATGTAGTATATTAGATGGTTAACTGCGGTTTGGCAGCTCATTAATAATCTTACACATATTGAGTACGAATAACTTTGACAATTACCGGTATTTTCAATAGTATAAAATTAGGCAAGAAAGCAGCTTTAGCTTAGCACCGATTTTAAATACAACTCTCTTACCAATATTGGTTTGACGAAGGTAAAATATAATTGAATTTAATAAGTTGGAAATACTGTCTGTCTTTCCATGAGTTAAAAAATAATTTCAAATAAAATTTCTTTTTTCAGTTTTTCATGTTATTTGTTTAATGTTATTGTAATCTGATTTATCATATTTAGTCACATATTCCATCCCTCTTTGCACTATAGTATATAATTCAAAGGACTTATCAGTTTCAGCAATATTTTTTTTTACCAGTATACATTTTTACCATAACTCTGTTTCTAAATCATATCCTGAAAAATTAAGGAGTAAAGTACACAAAGAAGGAAAATATGCAAGTAAATAATGGCATTTAGTGTTGTTTATGTGTCTAATATTTGTACTAGATTGTAAAAGTTATAAAATTCTATTAGCTTTTTAAAATTATTCTTTTTTAAATTGAGATGCTTCTTTGCACCCAAATGGTTAAAGCCCTAGTGTGACTTTGGTACTTTGATCTAACTTCTATTCCTAATAAATAATCCAGCTGCATACAGTTTACTCAATTTCTGCCATGTGTAAGGTAAACAATATTAGCTTTTTTTAAATATATCTTTTACAACTATTCCATCAGGTAGATTTTCTTTCATATTTTGCCTTAATTGAGTCATCCTGCTAATTAAGAATTTATTAAAGTTAATATGTTAAGTTTTTGTGTGTATAATTCATTTTAAGTATGTGCAAGCAAATGCATACATTAACAGTTACGTAGAATTATGTTTTGGGTATCAAATTCAGAAATTTTGTGGGCTGTTTTTAGAAGATTTATTAATGATTTATACTATATTAATATTGGTAAAAAAATTCTGTGGCTTTTATATGAGAGTATATATTTTTTAAAATAGCTGCATGATATGGTAGAGGTAAAAAGCTTCATGTGGATCATAAATTAATATTATGTGGCAATTTTTCATTTATTTAATAAAGAAAATATTCAAGCCACAATTAAAATTTTTTTCACTGGATTATTTGCATACAAAGTTTGCAGCAAATATTTCCTGCAACAGAAGTGACAATTTTTATTTTGCCAAGACAGGAAATTTAGTTAGTGAAAGCAGTAACCCTATTTTGAGATGTTAAACAGGAAAGGCAAATTTTTGAATTTAAATTGATTTTTGAAGGAAGACTTCATTTAGTCTTGCTATCATTCTACGTGGCTCTTTAACTTTTTTATGGTATTTATAATTTTATTGTTATTCAGCTTTCTGTTTGCTTAGAATGCACATGAATGTAGACTTGAAATATTTTATATTGCAAACTGAGATGCCATTGTTATCATAATTAAAGATTTTTGCTCTGATTTTGGAGGAATTTACTGATAATACTTTTGATTGTGTATTGGTTTCTGGTTTATTGAAATGTGTAAAATAGCCTGTTAATGCATATACGTATGTTAATGACATGTATATGTTTATGAAGTATTCTGTTATATGTATATAGTGTTGTGATTAGTTTTCTGCTTACTCTTTATTTAAGAAAAAGTTATCTGTAAGAAAGCGAATATTCTTTACTATATGTAGGAGTAAAATTGAAAAGGCTAATGCAATATAATTAATACAAAATTAAGTTTTTTTCTCATGTACTTAAATACAAACATAGCCATTAAAGACTTTCTCAACCTTGCAGTTCTAAACAAATCTTAAGTATTTTTTACTTGAAATTATAGGCATTGTGTAAGGTATATAATTGAAGCTTTACTGTGTGATAGTATGAAATTAAATTTTTAATTACTGAAATGTAAATTTTTAAATATGAAATACTCAGTGCATTTTATATGCATCTTTTAATACTTCAACTATATTTAAAAAAACTGAAAACATCTGAAGTGTGAAATTATTACAAATTTTTTCTTTTTCTTGTTTAGGAGCTGTTCTCAAAACATTGGGTGACAAAGAATTCACTTTTACAAAAATCGAGCAGGATATTAAAGACAGCGAACTATAGAACAAATATGGCGAAGCTGCAATGAAGTCTATGTTGAATTTTATTATTGAAAAAAATATGCTCTTCAGATTTAATGTTAGTTTTTATTGTTTAACAGTAATTGCAGTTTTCGAATACCTGTAAAATAAACCTAATTCTTAAATTAATTTCATGTGTATTTCTTTTGCAAGTATTACAGTTCATAATACTTCAAACAACTTGAAATTTTATACTTGTTAATTTATGTGGGATATGTTCATAATAATTTTATAATTTAAATAACTCATTGTCATCATATGAGCATAATCTAAAATGCACAGCATTTGACAACAAATTAATAAAAAATTAGCCAACTTCTAATTGCTTTCTTTTGTCCAGTTGCCTCTTTTTTAAATCATTTAATACCATAAAGCTATTTGATGAAAAAAAAATAATTGGTATGTCCACATCAACATGTACATTTATAATGATGTTATAGAAAAAGTCACATGAGATAATATTTAAAAACTTCAATATTCCTAAACAAATTAACTTTTTAAAATTTTATCTGGTATATAAGATAAAATAAAGAACATATTTAGGTAATTTTTGAATTTGCATAATTTTATGAACTTATTTATGAAATTAACAGTTACATTGTAAAAGGGAACTTTTTAAAAATACCTCAATAAAGCATTTCTTTTGTAGAGGTGAACTTTTAGTACTGATCTAATATATTTATAAGATTTTAAACTGAGAAAGACAACAATAATAGATTATAATACATTGCAAGATTGACTGATAAATGTAAAATTTTTACATATCATAATTATGTGTGTAATTAAAACAGAAGTTACTCAATTAACTTGCGTGCAAATTAATATTTTCTTTAACATGTTTGGGATAAACTGAATTTTAATAAATAAATATGTAGATATTTGTATTATCTGAAGATATGAATGAAATATTTGTGACATTAAACATTCATCTTCAGGAAAATAACAAAGTCAACTTGGTAAACTATTGGAAAAGGTAAGTTTTCTACAATTTCCTGGTCTATATTTAACAATTTTAAAATTTAGCACACTCATTCAAATAATCTAAACGTATGATGTTTTCTTTTGTGCTACATCCGTTTACTGAATTTGTTAATTAACTATATTGTACTTTAGATAGAAATTAACGTAGATATTCCCTGTATTTTACGGTACAAAAACTTATATATTTGATAATAATTGACCTAAATCTTCCCTATGTTTTCTTTGCATATACGAATGACTTTGGTAAAAATTTAGTCCGATGTCTTCTCCTCTTTACTGTGTATAAGTGCACATTTTTGGTAAAAAAATTTGCATAAATCTCCAATTACCTATTTACTGCATTTTTCGTAAAATGTGCTTATTTTAATCTCTTATTTTTTATATAAATCTATGCAAAAATGTTCTGCATATTATGATTAAAAGATAAAATTAATTTAATATCAAATTTTTACATATCCACCTTTTAGGTATGTACAGCAATATGGAATATATAAACTGGAAAATTTAAATGCAAAAAATTTAATTTCTATTCAAAAATTACATAACACTAAAAAGGCTGAAAATCACTTTTAATATTTCATTTCAAAGTGACTACAAAATATGCAATAAATTTTGTAAACCTGAGTTCTATGTTTTAAATCAATTAATGCTATCGTTCATTTACATGGCATAAGAAAATGTCCTTCGGAAAAGCAAATAATTTATTTAAAGTGTTATTTAGTAAAACGGAATTTAGTAAATAACTGTTTGCTACAGTAGTTGTTTACTAAATTTAAATTTATGAAATGAATTTAGTAAACAAAAATGCAAATGAACGATAGCATTAATTGATTTAAAACACAGAATTGATGTTTACGAAATTTATTGCATATTTTTGTAGTCACTTTGAAATGAAATATTAAAAGTCATTTTCAGCCTTAAGTGTTACGTAATTTTTTAATAGAATTTTTTTTTTTTTTTATTTGCATTTAAATTTTCCAGTTATATATATTCCATATTGCTGTTACATAACTAAAAGGCAGATATGTAAGAATTTGATATAAAAATTATTTTACCTTTTAATCATAGCATACAGAAAGTTTTTGCATAGATTTATATAAAAAATATGAGATTAAAATAAGTACATTTTATGAAAAATGCAGTGAAAAGGTAATTGGAGATTTATGCAAATTTTTTTACCAAAAATGTGCATTTATACACAGTAAAGTGGAGAATAGACATCGGATTAAATTTTTACCAGTCATTCGCATATGCAAAGAAAACATAGGGGAAGATTTAGGTCAATTACTATCAAATATATACGTTTTTGGTACCGTAAAATACGGGAAATATATACGTTAATTTCTATCAAATATATACGTTTTTGTACCGTAAAATACGGGGAATATCTACCTTAATTTTTACCTAATATATACGTTTTATATACAGTAAAAAATCGGGGAAATTTACGTAATTTTTACTAAATATATACGCATACGTGAAGCAAAAAATTGAGATTTACGTATATGCGATAAATATACGTAAATTTTTACTAAAAATATACGTAAATCCCTGAAATTTACGTATATTATACGTAAAAGTTGCGAATGAACAGTAGTCTCTCGCGTAAATATACCTAAATTTTACGTAAAAGTTAGGTATAGTATAACGTAAAAATATACGTAAATATTTAGTAATTGCCACTGGACACTTTTTATGATATTTTTACGTTCAACTTGAACGTTTTTTGTACGAAAGGCCATTCGTAAATTACGAATGCATGCTGCCTGGGAATTCCACTCCCTTTGAACTTCTCTTTGGGACTAAAATGAAATCGCAAAGCGACATAAACATCGCTGCTCTAATCGACGAGGAGAAAAATCTGCATTCATTCAGCAACGTGACGATCTCCGTAAGGACTCAAAACAGCAATCTCTAAAGTGCAAGACAAATCGCGGGTTACTTTTAATTTGCGACACAGCACAAAATTTCAACTTCATGACCTCGTGGCTATCAAACGAACTCGTTTGGCACTGTTCAAAAAACTAAACAGAAATTCTCGAACCTTATAAGTCACCAGAGGTCAAACAAAGACACACATGATGTGGAAAAGTGTGCATTTTTCGACGACATCCAAAACATCCACTTGTGCTGATACATGAAGCCCTGTCCAACAATATTGATCGTATCACTTGATTTTTAAAACTGTCAGCATTATAGGTTCCAGTGTTTGGAAGATGACACCTGAGACTTTAATAATTTTTTTTTTCCTCATATCAACTTTTTAATTCTTTTGTCATAAAATAATGTTCTTTTTATTTTAGTTAGATGCTGTGGTGTGGTTAACTATTTTTTGCTCTGTTTGGGTAAGTATCCAGCTTGTATCTCAGATATTTTTTTCTATACTTTACTATATTATAATATTTTTTTTAATTTGATGATATATTAGTTGCTTAGGCGAGGTCGCCTGTCCGGTCTTGATGGCCGAATGTGAGATATGTTATGTCATGATATTCCCTAATCCCTACTGTTGACGTATGCATCGTCAGCACGTGTTTCCCGCCTCGGGAGAAGACGAGGGATTAGCTGCCGAGGAGCAGACGTCGCTCGACGCTCGTATACATTCATAATTGTAATCCTAATGTATCTATATTTGTAAATAGTAATAAATGTGTGTTATCAACTATGGTCGTTGCCTTTCCCCACATATATAAGAAATCAGTAACAGATTACAAGTTTGGAACTTCTTATTCAGGTTTAACTTCCGCAAAATAACAAAATATAGTAGAATAACAACATCTCTTTATTAATTTAGAAGTCAAACAACAAAAATCAGCATTATATTTTCAAATTTCACAGGACTAGTTTGGATGGTTTTACCGAAACATCATCCTCAGCTGCAAAAGCGCAAATGAACGAGATAAGATATAATGATAAGATAAAAACGCGTGGACAGGAGACAATACATTGGCCAAACTAAGAGAGCCTTAAAATTTCGCGTTAAGGAACACGAGGCATATGTTAGAAAAAAGGAAACACAGGAGTCTTCTGTTGCCCAACATTGTTGATCCGAAAATCCCTTTCCATTTGCTGCCAAAATTATTCAAAAAACCTCTTCCATTGGTGAACTGGATTTCTAGAGGCATTTCACATTCAAAAAAATCTTTCTGTTCTAGTTAACGAGCCTATTCCAATCCATTTTTGCCTTCAGCCTTAAAGAAATTATGTTTAGTTCTGGTTTCATCAACAGATGGCGCTAGTAGCTTATCTCCTGTTCAGGCTTTCTTATCTTATCATTATATCTTATTTCGTTCATTTGCGCTTTTGCAGCTGAGGATGATGGTTCGGTAAAACCATCCAAACTAGTCCTGTGAAATTTGAAAGTATAACGCTGATTTTTGTTGTTTGACTTCTAAATTAATATTTGTTCGGCGTGTTATTGTATCTTAACATGTCTTCAGTTGCCAATCTCATGATACATCGCCAATTCTGTATAACGATGCCAGTTATTAACACCAACGAAGCTTGTCATTGCGCATGCGTGAAGCATAAACCGTGCTAGGGCTAGACGCTACTAGAAATTCCTTTGAGGAAAAACATTTTCACAGCTGTCTCTTAAAGGAAATACGCCATTCGATAACACCATAATAAGCTGTTTTTCCCTCGTTCGGTGTCAAAGCTGCTCTCCAGTTTTAATGGCCAGTTTAATTATGTTGTATTAAGTTCAAAGGCATAGCTAGGGTTTTTAGTGCCAGGGGACAACTAAAGATTTTGCACTCCTTTCTGTGTTCCAAGAATGGAAAACATTTAATTTTAAAATTTGTAGCATCAATTTGGCGTCCCCCTGGATACTGCGCCCGGGAACAGATGTGCTCCTTTGCACCACCCTAGCTAAGGCACTGATTAAGTTGATGAATGTATTAAGTTGCAAGTGCCCGATTGTTTGAAAGAATAACTTATTAGTTACCTAAAAACATTTGCATGTTATCAAAACGAATTATAAATTCTTAAATAAAAATTTAATTATTTGCAGCATCTTTGAACACAGCAAAAATCTTCAACACGGTCTAATG